ATAATACCTTTTCCCAAACGTAATGACCTCGCTAGTGTCCCAGACTTTCCTCAGGGAAAACATGTTTTGGCTGTTTATCCCGAAACCACCACACTATGTAAAGCAACTGTTGTCCAGCCTCGGAAGGTAGTTTAAATTGCTCATTATTATTTAGAGAAAAGTGCATTTTTCGTCCTGTAAGTTTACCCCTCTGGACAATTTAGTCCTCTTCGAATAGCCATTTTGATTTTCGTCCTCTAACTTTTAAAAAAGGTTGCAAATTCGTCCCCGACTCGCCGGAAACCCGTTAATTGCCCGGAAACACGCACGTGACACGCACGTGATGGAAATTAACGGCTCTTTCGGCCTACGTGGTGCCGGATTTCACACGCGGACATCTTTACTTACACGTGGCGGCCGAAATCAAAAGAAAAAAAAAAAAAATTCCACGTGTATACACACGTGGAATTGGAACGTTGATAAAATGAATACTCCCTACTGTTTGTGAACCATTTCCATCTTCCTTCAACCCTAATTTCCCAAATCTCTAGATCCCCAAATCTTCAAGAACCCTAATTTTGAAAATTGTTGATTTCGTTCTTCAAAAGTGTCGATTTCGTTCACTTTCAACATGTCTGAGTCGTCGCATTATACCGGTTTCTTGGAATGTCGGTGCAGAAAAATGGCTGTTATTCGCACATCATGGACGGCCGACAACCCGGGCAGGAGATTTCATTCTTGCCTCGAGTACAAGGTACGGTGTTCTGTTAACGACGAATTATATGATATTTAGGGTAGAATTGTATGATATTTTTGGTAGAGTTGCTTCTGTGTTTGATAGTGTTCTGATTCTTGCAATGTTGGGTTTTTTCACGGCTGTGTGAAGGGTGTTTGATTGTGTCCTGGCTGTATTATACATTGTTTTAACCTTGTTAATGTACAGAATATGGAGGAAAAAATCAACCTTGTTTTAACCTTTTTTTTTTTTTTTTTGGTAATGTACAGAATGGAGGCTGTGATTTTTTCTCTTGGGTCGACCCTCCTACCTGTGACCGGCCTGAAAAAATCATGCCTGGGTTAGTGAAGAAGATGAAGGCACTGGAGAGAGCAAATGAAAACTTCAAATTTGAGAATACCAAATTGGAGGAGAAGGTTGAAAAACTGGAGGAGAAAATTGAAAAATTACAGAAAAAGGTTGAAAAATTGCAAGCATTGAACAAGAGGTTGGTTGAAAAGAAAGAAAAAATGGAGATGAAAATGGGGTTTGCATTGGCTATAGCAGCTTTGTTGTGTGTATTTTTGCTATATAAAATTAGGTGAAGGATATAGATTAAGGAAGGTTGTGTAATGTGTTTATTTTCTCTTGTAATCTTCTATGTACTCTTGTATTTTGTGTGTTTCAATGTAATGCACTTGTGGTTTCAATGAAATGAAATTTTCTTTAGTTTGCACTTGTATTTCTTTAGTGTGCAGTTAATAACTACTTGTATTTCTTTAGTGTATCTCTTGTATTTCTTTAGTGTGCACTTGTTCTACTTTTTTAAGGTTAACTACAGATTGTTGGAACATATAAATTAAAAAAAAAAAAAAAATGCACCCCTTGATATGTGTAAGTATTATCCACCTATTCATCTGTCACAAGAGATTATATATTCATCATTCATCTGTCACAACTTTCTTGTAAGCACAAACAGAGAGAAACAGAGAAGGAGGATAATGGAAGACAACAGCTTGCCCAGCATTTCATTGTCAAAACTCAACTGCACAACTCAACCATTTCATTGTCAACTAAACTCAACTGATATCACTGAACTGATCACAACCATCACAACTCAACACAAACAAATTCAAAAGTAGAACAATAATCATAACTGATCATAACCACAAGTGTTTTACAACCACCAAGCAAAACAAAATTAACACCAAAACAAAATTAAGTTTCAAACAAATCCTGCAAATGTTTTACAACCAAATCAACTAAATTCAGTTTCCTATCAAATCAACTGAAATTCAATTCTTTCTAGAATTTTCTCCCTTCTCCTTTTTGATCTGCTTCAACTTCTGAGATGAGCTACCAAGAGAGAGGTCATTTTGAATCCTTTCAAACATTGCTGGAGTTCCATCTCTTGCATTGATGGCCTCCAACTGCTTACCTCTAAAGTATGAATCATCTCCTAATCCCATTTTCAGTTGTTCAAGGGGTGTCGGTCCCTTTGTCATCTCAGGCTGTGGAGTTGCACAAAACTCTTGTGTCAATTGTGACACAAAGCCTTCATCATCCCAGTCAGTTTCTTCTACAAATGGAGCAGGTGGTGCCATGCTTGGCCATTCTTTCTGTTGAAGAAAAAACACAGTCATGACCACAACATAAATGAATTACAAAGAAAAATAAACAAAGTCAGTAATACCTCTTTCTCTATGGTGGAGGTGGAGCCTTGTTTTTTCTGTTCAAGAAAAGTTATTAATCAGACACATTTGTTAATAATGTAATTAAATGAAATAAAAAGAAAAATGAATAAAGTACCACCTGCTTATCAATGCTTAAACCTTGTTTCTGTTTCTTTGCTTCCCTTTCATTTTCTTTGGCCTTTTTTGCAATAGCCTTAGCTGCTTTCTCCTGTCTTGCAGCATTAGCCCTCTTAATTTGCAACTGCAAAAGTATGGAAACATAAATAAGTCCTCTTAATTTGTAACAATAAATAACAAAACTGAAAAAAATGAAAATTAAAACATATTTTACATAAAAGCTGTATTTTTGCTTACAATTGTCCTGCTTGCTTTAGCTAGTGGGCTCTGATCCTTCTTGGCATCAGAAAGGTTTTTCTTGCCACAAGATCTGGCATTGTGACCCACATTGCCACATTTTCCACATTTCAAACTTGTCTGCTGCCTCTTCATCTTCATTTGAATCTTTGCCTTCATTTTCTGTCTTTTCTCTCCTTTCTCATCAGGATCAATCCTCCTTGCTTTCTTAGGTCTACCTGCACCTCTCCCAAATGTGGGAGGCAAAGGTGGAATGAAATGGGTTTGGTTCCACAGCATCTGACAGTTAATACCTAGGATGGCTGGTTTGTAAACTCTTTTATATGTTTCCACACTGTAGAAGTCATGCACATAATCAACTGGATTGCCCTTTTGAGATACAATTGCACTACATGCATGCTTGCATGGTATCCCACTCAAGTCCCACAACCTACATGTGCAAGTTTTCTTTTCCAAGTCTACCACATACTGACCTCCACCATAACACTCTATTTGATAGTGAGTGTTGTCACTTTTCATAGGCATGCAGTCACCTAACTTTGCCATATTAGCCTCCACTGTCTTAATGATCTTTGGACACACTTTGCCTTTCCATCTCAACTCTGCCCTATCCCTGTTTCTTTGAAGCCTTTTCACTAAGTACATTCTGATCCATTCAAGCATAGTCACTATGGGTTCCTCTCTAGCATCAACAATGCATGCATTAAAACTCTCACACAAGTTATTCAACAATATGTCACACTTTGGTTTTTCCTCAAACTGTGATTTTGACCAATGTGCAGGGTTCTTGTCATTGAACCAGTCAGCAGCTTCTACACATATTTCTCTCATTTGTCTCATTCTAAAATGGAACTCACCCACAGTAGCTGCCTGTGCAGCAGCCCACAAAGCATTTTTAAATGCAGCCCCTCTGTAACCAGCATTTTTAAAGTTATTGTGCAGATGTCTAACACAAAATCTATGTGTTGAGTCAGGAAAAACATTCTGAAAAGCCACAATCAACCCTTTCTGTTTATCACTAATGAAAGTACAATCACTGTCATGCACAATGCCAAGATCATGTTTCAATGCAATCAGAAACCACTCCCAAGTATCCCTAGCTTCTTTACCAACCACAGCATAAGCTAAGGGATATATGTTGTTGTTAGGATCAACACCTACAGCAGTCAGAAGAATACCCTTGTGGGGTCCAGACAAATGACAGCCATCAACTCCTATTATTGGCCTAAGACCACTCCTAAAACCTTCCTTCAGTGCAGCAAAACAAACATAGAATTTGGAGAACCTAGGAACACCATCATCTTCTAAAACATCTAGAATCACAGTTGAACCAGGATTTGTATCCCTCAGTTGTTGGGCATAATCCCACAACTTTTCATACTGTGAATCTGGATTTCCCTCAAGTACCTCTAGAGCTCTCTTCTTAGCCCTATAAGCCTGGTGCCTAGAAATCCCAACCCCCAACTCATGAACCACTTCCCTTCTAAATCCCTTTACTTTTCTTGAGGGATCAGCTTGAAACTTGCTCAAGTACCTCTCAGACAACCACTTACTTTTAATATTCTTAAGATGAAAAGATATAGGGCATGTATGAGTGGGGTTGTAAGTGGTTATCTTGAAGGCTTCCTGGTCAGGAATCTTCAGGGCATGAATTTTCCACTGACACTCCTCTGAATCACATACTGCATGGACCCTAATCTTATCATTTTTTTTCAACTTCACACTTCTTTTGGACTTAATAGCATGTGACTGTACAGCTTTCTTAAACTCTGCTCTAGTACCAAAGACCATTCCTAGTGCAAATGTTGGATCATAGATATTGCTAGGATTAAATACAATTTCTCTCTTTTCAACTGTTTCAGTATCTGAACAAAACTCATCAAAATCAAGTGGAGTTTCAATTAAATCTTCTTCCCCACTATCAGACTCAGATTCAATTTCAGACTCCACAGATTTGTCTACATTGTGATCAAAGTCTGCATCATCCCTCCCACAACTACTTTCTGATCTAAGATCAAAGTCACTGTCTATAGTTTCACTACCCTCATCACCCCCATCACTATCACCCCCATCACTATCACACCCATCATCACCCCTATCAGGTACCTCAGCACCCTTGCCTTCATTTTTTTCACTACCCTTGCCTTCATTTTTTTCACAACCCTCATTATCTGTCTTTTCACTCTCACTTGTTTCACTGCTCTCACTTGTTTCACTGCTCTCTGCTTCACTCTCATTATTTTTCTCCAATTCTACCCAACCACCTTCATCATACTTAGAAGTAGGCACAAATTGACCTTCATCCATTAGATCAATGTGTATGTCCATCAATCTATTAGTATAGAAACATTTAGCCCAGTTACATAAAGTTGCATCATCTTTCAGTAAGTTAAATGTAGCACCCGAGTTGAAATAATACCTTCTATTTCCTACACAACCAAATAGATCACTAAGACAACCCAATGTATCCAGACACAGTTTTGACTTCTCTAACCAGTCAAAAATCATACTAGAACCCCCAAGATAATGGTCAATTGGAGTATGCAAAAATTGACCTCCACACCAAAGTTGGATAGTTATGTGATCTCTACTTTCTATGGAACCAAACCCAAGTCAACCAAACAACAACAAACAGAGAGAAATTAGGGATTTTCAGATAACCACAACAATAAGCAATTGAAGAATGTATAACTGTATTTTGAATGAAATTAGGGGTTTTAACCACATTACAGTCACCGAAATTAGGGTTAGAAAAAAAACCCTAATTTGTCTTCAAAATTAAGGTTTACAAAAAAACCCTAATTTATATTCAGAATCAGGGTTCGCAAACGAACCCTAATTTGTATTTAGAATTAGGGTTTGCAAAAGAACTCTAATTCGTTTTCGAAATTACGGCTTGCAAACAAAATTACGATTTGCAAATAACCCTAATTTCATTTTAATTGTACGAAATACTCCGCGACATTACATTGCACGAATTTTTTCCATAAACAAAGAAAGATAATATCACTGACCGTATGTGGGAGGTCCATTGTGCATACGAATCTTCTTCCGGATGAACACCTTCTCAGGAATCATTTGGATTCTTGCTTCTCAATACTTGATTTTGAGCTTTCGATTTTTTTACCTTCAGAATTTCAGAAAGAATTTGAGAACGATGTAGATGGAGGGATTTTTTCTTCACAGAGAATTTGGGAACGCGATTGTGGGGAGAAGTGAAGTGACTGTTCATGTTCCTGCCTTTCATCTGTTTTTCCCTCCAATTCCACGTGTGTATACACGTGGAATTTTTTTTTTTTTCTTTTGATTTCGGCCGCCACGTGTAAGTAAAGATGTCCGCGTGTGAAATCCGGCACCACGTAGGCCGAAAGAGCCGTTAATTTCCATCACGTGCGTGTCACGTGCGTGTTTCCGGGCAATTAACGGGTTTCCGGCGAGTCGGGGACGAATTTGCAACCTTTTTTAAAAGTTAGAGGACGAAAATCAAAATGGCTATTCGAAGAGGACTAAATTGTCCAGAGGGGTAAACTTACAGGACGAAAAATGCACTTTTCTCTATTATTTATTTGTCCGAAAAAAATTCAATGAACTAACTTTTGTTTATTTTACATATGTGGTGCTCGTGACTCTTGATCATATAGAGGAAGATTGATGAGTAAGTTGCATTACTTTTCTCTTCTTTATTGACTTCACTTTTGCTGATTAATTGGGAAGATTGATTGAGCTACTTAATTTTCAGTTTGAACTCCATTTAATATTTGTTCTGAAAACATGAGCCTCATTTATGTTATTTTGAAAGATAATTGGGTTTGTGTATAATTATGTCTAATTTCAAGGGTAATCTTCTTACTTATCCCTAATCTTTTTTTGCTGCACCACCCACTTATGATTGTTTGGCATTTTTCAGTTATGTGTTGGAGTTTGATGATGATGAAGAGGATGGATCTTTGCCCCAACGATTCGTACCGTTTCACAAGGTTGTTCCACTTAATCCGAAAAGTACGAATGATTTATAATCTTAATTTATCACAAATAACTCGAATACTTGAAATGTGTATAGAGAATATACCACTTTCCTGTTATTTAATGTTCTGGTCCTAGAATTAAGTGAAATTATAATCGATACAAGAAAAAAGGGTACAAAAAAAAAGCACACTTTTCCAGTAATAAAAAGGGAAATTCCACCTTTTTAGCAAAGCCTCTTATTGAACTGAAATGCTGATATGTTTGAAATAGAGCCACATTTCGTCGTGTGCTGTGGATAGTTTACAAAATATACCGCGCATTATGTTATCTTGCGAATTGAAAGAGGAACATATATCTACATTGGATTTATGTTCTTTTGGCATGCTTGTGAGATTGGTATTGGGGGATCTGAAAACGAGCCTTTCACGATACGGGTTGCGATCCACCGGTTTGCGGACTCGGAATAATGCACGCCGTCCCAGCTTATGGTTCGGTTAGGGTTCTTGCATGAACCACCGAAAACTTCGGTTCCGTTCACATTTCCTTTGTTTCCGCACCAAACATCGTACCCTATCCCATGATGTCCGCAGCAGATATTAAAGGGGTCCTCAAATCCTGTACAGTTTCGTAAGCGAAATGAAATGAAATTCTGTCGCCTTTGAGATTCAAATTGAATATGCATTTGGTACCAAATATTTTTTTCTTTTTTTTTTTTTGAAAATTTATTATAATTATTAAACCATATAATAACTGATGGATGATTGAATTTTTATAAAGCCCGTAATCACGAGGTTTGTCTGTTAGTATAAGGCCCGCCAATGATTACCTATACATAATTGACACAAAATCTCGATTCTTCAAAATCATTGTTAAAAATAATTAATTAAATAAATAAATAAATAAAAACCTTAACACATAAAACGCAGATAATTAGACTCAATCTGGGTGAAAAATATAATATCATCATTCATCACCTTGATCTTTTGCATTGGTGATTAATTCTAACTTGGCACTGTACATGTCAGTGTAGATTATGATAGCCTCTGAAAGCTCTGATCTTAGCTTCACAATCTCATCCTTGAGCAATTTATTGAGTTCAATAGCTATCTCATTTTGGCTTTTAACACAACCATGCTCGTCCAGATAACCCGGCCCAGGATTTTGAACCTTCACAATTGCTACAGGCAAGCAGCCGATTGGCCCTGTGTTGTGTATCCAGAAAATCCTCGCCTCTCGTTCGTACAATGTCTTAATGAAAATCACAAGTCAGAGTAAAAAACTGTATGTTTCAAGAAAAAAAAAAAAAAAAAAAAAAAAAAAAAGATATGATGCTAATGAACTTACTCTGACTTGTGCTATAAACAGGCTGACTATATTCGGCACGGCTAGCTTTTGAAGTTCGAAGCTCAGTTTTCGAATGCCTGCCGCCACATCATTCTGCCCTATATCAAGCATGAACAGGGCCTTGGAGAGGTCCTCAGGCATAGGCAGTTTTCTCATGAAAGATTTCTTTTTTGCTGAAAGATCACAAATTAAGGAGATAACAAAGTGTAAAACAAAAAAGGCATAGCACTTTGTAACTTTATATTACCTCTGTAGAAATACGCTGTTCGGTCTTTGAGCTGCGTGTAGTGCTCGACTTGGATTTCAAGAGAGAAGGGGCTAACCGAGCTCTCAAACCAACTCTCATCCGGCCGCATAATGGTTGCACCTCCTGTTGCAAAGTTTGTACCGTGCCGAAAACTGGAACCAATTGATCCTATTGAGTCCAGGTATGGGTTTAGGTATGGTAATCCCAAATGGGAAGCTACATGAAAACATAGACAAAAAAAATTAGACATATATATATGTATATAAGTATATATGTATATATATTTTTTTCTTAGTTCTTTAAGCTATAAATATTTTGTATGTGTACCAATAAAGTCTATGATGAGACGGCCATCGGAGGCTCGTCCAGCTGGCCGGTGAAAGTGAGTCTGGCCGGAAGGTAATACCGGTGGATAGAATGCTGCTGAAATGCCGCCGGTGTCTGAATTCGAATCACCAAAGTTGAAAATTGAAGGGTAATTACAAGTGGGATTTTGTACTTCATTAGCATTTGCTAATAAGGTACTCCATGAGAGTAGGACAACAAGAACTAAATTTGTGAAAAATTCCATCTAAATAGGATTGTGAGTAATGAGTATTAGACAGATAGATTGGTTATATATAGAGACCCCAAAGCACATATTTTTATTTTATTTTATTTAAATAAAAGTGTGAGTATTTAATATAGGAAATCTGCAGGGCTGACTAATGTGGTCCAAAGGCAGTGTAAAAGTCTGATGAAAAGTTTCATTCAACTATATCCAGTAAAGGGATTTACACATAATCTCAATTTGCCATGCTTAGGTAACTTTAAATCCAATGCAGCTGCAATAATTTCTGTTCTTTTTTNTAATAATAATATTTCAATAAATGAGATACATTAGTATTTCCTGAATAACAATATCATGTCATGGCATCCATATGTCTAGTTACTAGGGGTCATCTACCACTTGTGCTAGAAATCCTATAAATAGGACATGGTAGAGGTGAAGAATATGCACAACAATATCATCTAACATTCTTACTCTCCAAAAAAGCCTCACGTATCATAACATACAGTTAGAGCTGCAAACGAGTCGAGCAGCTCACGAGCGCTCGAGTCAAAACTCGACTCGAGCTCGAGTTTGACCAAACTCGAATCGAGCTTGAGTCCATATTTTGCATTGTCGAGCGGCTCGCAAGCAGCTCGAGATATAGGAAATTACTAAAATACCTCTTGTGTATATATGCACTTAATGATTATTTTACAAAATTGCTTGAAAAATTCGAACCAAACTCGAGCCGAGCTCGAGCATGTTGAATTCGAGTCGAGCTCGAGCCGAACTCGAGCTCTAATATTTTTTTATCGAGTCGAGCTCGAGCCTAAAAATCGAGTTCGAGCAGCTAAAAAAAAATTCAATCTTGTTCGATAAGGCCAATGCTCGGTTCGGCTCGTTTGCAATCCTACATACAGTGCTAATTTACGACTCCATTCAATTTCGTCAAAGCTTAGAAATCCGAAGTACTACAGCTTCTGAAACGTAGTCGTTGTATCTTTTGGGAAAAGCACCTAAATTCGTCTTGTGGAAAGAGCAACCCTCGTCTCGAATGGTTCTCTTCCAGCATCTACATTTTGTGTATTGCTATTTTTTGTTTTAGCTCAATTTATAAAAACTGAAAACATAATATTCAATTAATAGCTAGGTTACCCATGTAATCTCGACACTCAGTTTGTAACATTATGTCCGCGTTTTTTTTTTTTATTGGTTGGGGTGGTGGTGATTGTTATATGATTTTTTTGACAGTTTAGTAAACCAACCTCTCTTTCTGCCAGTGTATCATTTTAATTTACATGTCTCTTTGAGTTCACCATTTTAAGCTATCTACAACCCAAAAATTCATTTTCAAAGTTATTTTGAGCATCTCTAACTGAAAATTTCATTCTTAAACTCATTTTGAAATCAAACAGTTATTCATCTTCAAACAATTACATTCAAAATATTCTCTTTTACATTAATTTTTATTCATTATTACCCATATATTCAACAACTTTACAAATTACACCTCACTGTTATTTCTTATTTGATTGAGAAAACATACAATATAATTAATTATGAATTCATAAGAGAAAATTAAAAATGAAAAATATTTACTAGACATAAAAAATTACACTTGTCTCATTATTCATGGACAATGAGATGTTTTAAGAAATATCATATTGTTTGAATTTATCACCAATGAATTCCTAGAATGTTTTAACTTTTTTAGATAATTTAGTGTTTGACTGAATATTTTGAAAATATATCAGAAACATAACGTTATCTCATTATACATAATTTAAGTGTTTGAATAAATATTTTAGAAATATTTAGAAGAAAGGACTGAAAAATGCATACTCTATATATACATGATATGTATAATAGTTTTTTAATATCAACATTTTTTATTTGACAAAGTTTATAGCTATAATAATTGTTATAATCATTCTATTTCTTTTTATTTTTTTTAACTCAAGTATATGATGGTTATAATATTCGAGTTTTGTTTATATCAATATAAAATATATAAAATTGACATTTGAAAAATTGAGGACTATTTTGTTATTGAATAAGCAAAATATACCTGGCGATGGTTGCTGACCTTTGAAAAATTGAGGACTATTTTGATATATATATTAAGTGATGCAAATAAAAATTAAAATAAGTCTTGTTTGACATATATTAAGTAATAAGTCTTGTTTGACATATATTAAGTCATTTTTTTTTCACGTGATACAAATAAAAATTTGTAAAAAGTTTATTTGTGTATATGTAAAATTTGAAATTATAAGTTAGATAATGAACATATCACAATTTATAAATTTTATCATTAGCAAAAATGATTGATATAAATATAAATTAATTAACTTGTTTTTATCTTTATATTGATACAATCTTGTCTGATTATGATCAATTAACTGGATAAAACAATCATTAAAGTATTATTATAACAATTGTGTATGAAATTTTAAAATATTTAATTATGTCAAAAAGTAATTAACTATTTTTAACAAAAAAAACTTAAATAAGTGGATTAATGGATGTGAGCTAGCCCCCTTTCTCTCTCTACCCAATCCCTGCATCATCGTCTTCTGATCGAGCCTTCTCTTCTCCCCGGCGGTAGTCCGGGTTAGCCGGAGAACGTGCTTCGCCGCTCACCCTCGATTTGGCCTTGTCTCTCCACTTCAGCACTCCGCCGAAAGATGCGCCTAGGGTTTGCAGATCCCCTTTCTGCGCCCTTCCTTCGGGTGCTTCGACGAGAGTGGGCTGGACGGAAGACGGTGGCTGGAGAGGGGGTGAGGTCGGGTCGCCGTGGTCGGACTGATGGGCTCGGTGTTTCAAGCTGGATTCAAGGTACGCTCGATTGGTCCTTGTGGCTATCTCGTCGTCGATTGATACGGTTCTGTTCCGCCGGAGTGACTGTAAGAGGTGAGTTGTGTTGGCTGCCTTCTTCGGATGCCAATTTGTCTCGGTTTTCTTTTGGTTGTGGTCGGCGGGTGCCTTGTTTTATTCCGGCGGGTTTGGCTCTGTCCATCAGGCTGGGTGGGGCGGCTGGACTTGGATCCTTCAATTCCTCTCTCACGGCTCTTTGTTTTGAGTTTTGGGTTCTAGCCGGCTTCCGAATGAGCTGGGGTTTCGGCGATTTCGGGTCGGCTTGGTTCTTGGCTTGAGGTGTTTGCCGAGTTGGGGATGAAGTGGTTTCTGCGGTTGGAGTGAGGGTCGACTATTGGGAGTAATTTGGGGTTTCGGTCTCCGGGTTCGCTAGGCCTTCGGCAGTGGTGAGCGGGGTTCCGCTGCTTTGAATTCTCCAGTAGCTGGCTTAGTTCGATGGCCTTCTTGGAAGTCTCTGCTGAGGGAGGGATGCCTTTTAGTTGTTGTTTGGTTTAGATTTTTTT